TAACATGCTCTTTCTTTCTTGCTTCACGAATAACTGAGAAAACTTCATTTAATGTAGGTATTTCGTTTTTTTTGTAAAAGAGTGTACTGTTTCCCCTAATAAAATTCTTCACTTCTTCATCGATAACGAAACACTTTCTACCAGTGGATACTTTGGGCTCGAAATAGTTGTTGTTTTCCTTGAGTTCCTTGATAATTCTAAAAATTGTCGGTCTATTGACACCGGTCATACTCGCGCATTTTTGCACTACTTCCTCCTTACTTTTCATTTCGGGTGGATATTGTATTCTTGTATTGTATATACATTCATAACAATTGTTTTTTCATTTATATTCAATGGTGACAATTTCGGACGTTTCACATTTCGAACGTTCCACGATTTCCGAACAACTAGCTTCCATTTTGTATAGCGTTTATTCAACGCGTTCTCGAAGTCAACTGAAGAATATCACGAATAACCCCGCTAAAAAGCCAAGCTGGTCTTATTGATGGGTGCGATGTGTCTGTTGACAGTATAATTCGAAGGAATATCTATTCATACAGCCTTCAAAAAAACAATATTTTTTCAATCCCCTTCAACTAAATACCTATTTGTTGGAGAATATCTTGGTTACTACTGGACATATCTCAACACATGTCATAGTAGATTTTTATTTTGTTTGTTATGAATGATATTTTTCAAGAATAAATATTGTATTTTCGTCGTGTAAATTCATTTAATCAATTCGTTGAGGGTAAATAATTTGAATGCAGTACGTAATTAATTGATTGAAACACGTGTCGAGGTGTTAAAAATAACGGTTTGGTGTTGGGACTAAACTCCAGCAATATCCATTAATACACCAAAGATTCCAAACAGTGCATCACAAGTACATCACATGAACTTCTATCTTTATAATTATTTTATTATCATTATTATGAATACTAAATTCCCTAAATCGAAAAATACTTATTTTTTTCAGTTCACAGGAGATGATCTCATATATTAGTTCGCAATCCAATGCGTTTTACTCAATATATGAAGCATAAATCAACATGCATATAACATCCCCAAATAAACATCTCACAGATGACAGTCTTAATCACATAATATACAAGCTGTTTCATAAAGATTCAAAATAATTGATTAGCCATTTTGGACGGGCAGTTGTCATGTAACAGTCGTTTGAGTGAGTTGATATGTTTTCATGAAAATGTACAAAATGGAGTATTGACCTCTACAAATATTTGTTTTTGAAAGGCAATACTCCTACGCAAATCAAAGATAAGTTGAATTCTGTGCATGGGGACTCTGCTGGGATGCTGAATTCAAACGTGGCCGTAAGGGCTTGGACACGATAAAGGTTCGAGACGTCCAAAAACTGCAACTACAGACGAAAACATCGGTCAAGTTCACCAAATGGTGCTAGACGACCGCCGAACGAAAGTGAGGAACATATCAGGGGTTATGAACATATCTTGAGGACTTATTTGTTACAAATCAAATCAACATTCAGGCACGAGAAAGCTGTCCGCGCGTTGGGTGCCGCGTTTGCTCACGTTAGACTAAAAACGTGTTCAATTGAACATTTCCAACGATTTGTTGGCTCAGTTTAGGCGCAATAAATCCAAGTTTTGGCGCCGAACGATTACAGTTGATGAAATTTGGATACACCATTATACACCCGAAACAAAAATACATTCCAAACACTAGACTGCAAAGAGGGAACCGGCTCCAACAAAAACGTTTCTTCGGCTGGGAAAGTGATAGCGATTCTTTATTGGGATGATCATGGAATCATTTCAATTAATTATCTTCAAAGAGAAAAAACCATAACAGGGTATATTATGCACTATTACTTGACAAGGCAGAACTTACGGAAAAACGCCACATTTGCAGAAAAAAATCCTGTTTCACCAAGGCAACGCACCTTCTTACATATCAGCGGTTGCCATTACGAAAACCCATGATTTACGGTTTGATTTGCTTGACCATCCGCCTACGTTTAAAAATAAAAAAAAATATGAAAAAATATCTTGTATCTTTATTGGGTTGAAAACTTTTTAGACTACCCTCGTACTTGTGTGATCAAAAAATCATCCTGTTCATCCACAAAACACACATAAACGTGTCTCGATATATAACATATTTCTAAGAGGAATATATAATGTCATCCGAAAAACTTTATTTTTGAATATAAAAATCTGAATGAATACTTGCCAGTAGATGTTCTTTGTCCATGATCATAAGTGAAGACTAATACTTCCAATCAGTTTTTTTTCACCCATGTTATATTTTTAAAACTCTAATTTAATTGATTGGTGAATTGAAAACTCCAGTTGATAAACGTATTTCGTCCAAACTATTCATTAACCGGCATCATTTGCGTTAACGGTTTAACTCAGTTTACTATACAATTCTAGAAGAAAATAGCAATCCACTTTCATTTCATCTGATCTCTTCTCAATAAATAGTTTGTAAATTAGCAGTAAATGTAAATTGATCATCACTAATCGCCAGTTCCACTAAAAAATTGTAGGAAATATTAAGTGAAATATCGTTTGTGTTTAATTGATTAATATGCAAAAGCTTCATCGATTATATAGGTAAGTATAACAAATTGATGAAGAACATGCTTTAAGGCTGCAATTGTAGGCGGAGAAGTCTCTTAGATAATATCAATATGAAAGAGTTTTCATCAAGAAAATTAACTTCGATAATAACCTTCGTTTTCATGGAATGAGTTCATATAAGAAAGCTAAAAACAGCAACATGATACATCAATTCAATATTCTCAATATTTGGCTAGTTTTGCTACCACCTACATTATTTTAATTCATTAAAAAACCTCAATTGGTTACGATGATAAAAATCCTACACCATGAGTATACCAAGATGATAGATAATTAACAATAACAATGATCCTTCGATGCATATGAAACCGAAGTTATTTGTATTCGCATTTGGCCGAAACAAAGTGGAAAGCATATATTTTATGGTGAACAATGTGACCCCAAGAAATACTGATCACAATGGAAGATTCTTGAGAATCATTCTAGATGAGTTTCTAAACTGGAAAACCCACTGTCACCAATGAACTTCAGTATCTCTCCATCAACTCACGAACAGTTTTAACAAAAAGTTAGTTGCTTAATTTATATTTTTTGCCCCAGTAGGATCAAGACTCAGAAATTAAGTCTGTTTCTGGTGTGGACCTACTTCAGTAGAAAATGTGTTCAGAGGTATTCAGAGGTGCATAGCAAATTGTTATAAGTATGTATATTGAACAATTTCAAATTAAGAGAATTACAGACTGATGTAGAAAGCCTGAACCGAGTCAATAGCAAATGATTATTATATCTTGTAATGTAATGGAAAATGAGATTGAAATTTTCAAATATTTCTATGAATCTGTAAAAAAGACTGTAGGAAATAGGCTGGAGCTACCCAAAAGCCTAAAGCCATAAGCCGAAAGCTATAACAGATTTGGAAATGAAAAAGACAAACATGCGCTATTCTCAAAGCCTACAAGCTACAGCTTATTACTCCTCTGTGTTGTCTCAATAGGTGTAACTGGTTATGAAACTTGGAAGTTAGTGTGTCGTTTTCCCAATGCCATTTCAGAGACGGATCCAGTGCCCTAGCCCAAGGGCTAGACTTTTCCACCCATTTGATTCAGAGGATACCACGAAAATCTAATTCTTTGTGTTCCATCACGATTCTGCTTGAAATTATCCTCTACAAACCATTCATCAGCTTTCTGTTCAACTGACATGATGGAAAACTCTAAGATTCCTCTACCATTACCTACTTGATTTATTTAGAGTTACATCGTCAGCAAAAATAATGTAAATTATACCACGTATCATTCGCTTATATTATGAATAAAGTGGGTCCCAAGGACGACCCTTGAGGCACTACGTATCTGACCATTTCAAAATCAGATTTATTTTCATCACGGTAAACTGTTTGTTATCTGTTTGCAGGATATGACTTGAAGAAATTCAATGTAATACCACGATATCATTGTATATTATTCGACTTAATGTGCTTGATATATTTCTCAGCTAAATCTCTCAAAATGTCGGTGCTAAAAACATAATTTCAGTTACCTGAAAACAATCATTTGTCAAATTTATATAAACTAGCAAAAAATTATTGATAAAAAATTAACCTTTGAAATGAATTGAATGAAAGTGAAATATATTCTGCAACAAGATAGGAATCGCACGTTGAATGGTAAAACCTTAACGTGCACAAGTCCAGACTGGTGAGGCTTGAGATTCTTTCAAAGTTTGAAACAATGTGGGGTGAATTGAGATAACTAACTGAAAATATCAAAAGTACTGTTTGCTTAGAATAGAGAATCAATTGTAGTGCCAATGAACTATACTCACCTACTGACAAAATTTCGTTATCATTGACTATAATTAAATTTTTATTAAAAAAACAATTATGACTTTGCTGATTTTTGCAAAATATCGTGAAAATATTCAACTCAGCATACTCAATATATCAATCCAAACGATGGAAATGAAAAATTTTCAAATTTGATCGAATTAATGCTATGATCCACAAATGAAATGAAGTTTTCAATCGAAGTATCTTTTGATATATCTAACTACTTTTATTTCCACTTAAGATAATTTCTTGATTTGAAATGTACTGAGGATTTTTCAATTTTTTTGGACAAATTCTGAGTATGTTAACATAGTTTGGTAAAGTAAACTGAACACAACATTCATTGCTACATTCTTTCGTCAGGTAAAGAAATATGTGTACTAATTTCGGTCGCTGTACCGGAAACAAATATTTCAAGTTTATTTTTTTTGAAACAAGCAGATTTTTTTGTGGTAAGTCCCGCCAAATATTTCAACATTCATAATTCATTATTTTCCTTCCTACTTCTGCGTTTTCTTTGTCTTTCTCTGGGCGTTGCAGATCCACATAATGTGAAAGGGACCTTGCTCTTCACGAAAGGAAGGTGAGCTGGGGGAACTATGAGGATATTGGGGGCTTTATATATACAGAGGTGGAGAGAAACAATAATCAATATTCGTTAACAGTCCTAGTGTTTAGGAGGTTCATAACTAATATCAACACCATGATGATTTTGGTAAGTTACGTGAAATAGTGAGTGATGAAGTGCTTACTCGAAAAATTTTCAGTTCGGTATAAGTATCCTATTTGCGTTTTACGTTATAATCACAGTGTTTTTCGTTGATTCAGTAATTATTACGAAGTGATGTAGTTTTCAATACATTGTGATGAATCGATATGAATAATTACTTTTGAAATATTCTGTCAAAAATTAGGGTTTTTATTATTTCAATGAACTCTTCATCGTTAAGATCCATACATGATATATCTTCATCATAAAAGACAGTTTACAGTCGAATGTCTAAAATCATAATCAATTCAAAAATTGATATGAATTATGAAATATCTCCTTTCAACAGCAGATATGTCACAAAATTGTTGACGTTGATATTAATATAAAGTATTTTTCTATTGCTATACCTCATGAAGGTTTATAAAAATATTTGTTTTCATTTACAAATCGCTATTTCATCAGCTTCTTTTTTCTTATGAAGAATTTGATGGAAGTGAATCATCTAGTATTGAAAACTTAATGCCTCATATGCTTCTCCTCAAATGAGTGTTTTACTGAGGTGTATCGTAGAAAATGCTGAGTTGCTGCAGTGTCAAAGATTATTATATGAGTACTTAATGATTGATGTTCTCAAATGCCTTTTTCAGTTATGATAACTTTGATTCTCCATTGAACTATTGAGATATTTATTCTGATTGGTTTTTGGATGTTGCCGAGGTTTTCTTTGGTTATAATCTACAAACATTACAACTGCAAATACGGCAGTTATTCTTCTGCAGTTAAACGGCATTCAGATATAGATGTAAAGTTGTGAAGTTAGAAAGTTTATCTCCAACCTCTACTGGTCTGTAACATATCTACAATTTAGCTTACATTTATGATATAATTCATTACTACACTATTGAAATTGATATATTTTTGAAATATGTTATCGTCGTCACCAGTGGTATGAAAAATACAATTATCTAGAAAAAAAGTTTTGAAGTTTTTTCACTAAGAGAAATTTTCCCTAGAAAGGACTTATTTCGAATCGATGCTTCCAGTATGTGTTTCAGGAAAAAACACTACTTCATGATCTGAACGTCTTCGTGCAAACTTTTTATTGATATGTTCTAGTTTCTGTCCATTATTTGAAAGTTGTCTCTAAAAAAGAATCACTTGATGGATATCTACAATTTACGATGAGAATTTTCTGTTCACACCACCAAGAACTTTATCAAAACAAAAATCTTCTATACTGCTCAAAACATTCAAGAATGACTACTTCGAATACCTTTCCAAAATTCATGACAAAGCTTCTTCCGAACTTAGGAAAGGAATAATGTTGATTTTTCAATTGTCTACTATCTTCTGTTATATTATCGTAGAATATATTTTCTTTCTCATCTGAAATCCTCTCAAGTTCATGGGAATTCACCAAACATTCCTTGTAACATATCATTTCGATTATCACAAGTCAGATAAACTTTTCCACAATATATTCAGAAAATTCACACTTCGTTTCCATTGTGTATATTCTGATAATTTCTCACACAATACATACATGTTTTACATTCAAAAAAATATATGGTGTACATTTATTTTGGTGCAATATTTCAATAACATGGCCACGATTCGAAAAATACTACTCCGAATTGAACTAAATTGAAGTTTAAAATATGTATTTTCATGGTGGGGAAGTTGAAAACTATGTACAATAAACAAGCAATTTTAGGAGAAATGCATGATACAAAATTTCTATTTATTGTACTAATGAACAATAAATCTTCAGTAGGTCATTTGTAAACTTCATGTGAATTAGAGTTAAAGTTTTGAATTTGATTTATTTCCAGCAGAAAATAGTTTCGTCATCAAGAAGTGTAAAATTTTCCAACATGCGATTTGTGATAAGAATAAGTATCTTGGCTTTGAGTTGTAATCAAAACATATCGTAGCTTTTTTCTATTCTGCTCATAACACTAGGAAACAGAGCTATTGAATTTCGAGCACATTTCTTCCTATTTGTGCAAGCAGTAATGTCATGAATAAAATATCAAATGCGGTCCAGTTATATCTCATATTCATTTCCACAAGAGCTCATAAAACTGACATTTTTTTCATTGAAATTGAAATTGAATTCTATAGGTCTACTTCATTTACATCAGTATCAAGTTCAATAGAGCGATAGAATTAATAACTTTATAAATATGGGAAAGAATTCTCATGCGGATATTGAGAGCGTACTTGTTTGTCAACCTTGGAAGATTTTTTCAAGTAACGTGTGGATGTTGACACGAGGTTGCAAAGGCATCTCGTCTAGCGAGTTATTGAAATTTCAAAGAACTAAAAAAAATGTTTTTATATACTCGTAATCATCTCGTGCAATGAATAACTGTTCTATGAATAATATGAAATTATAGGTTTTGTATGGTATTTGATTCAATGACATAATTGTTGACATATTACTGAAACAGCATTCTGTTTTGGGGTAAAATCCAGATAGATAAATTCAAACTATTTCTTTAATTCCGTCTAATGATAATAAAAACAATGCTATCTTGGTTTCTATTCGATTAATTCGCAAAACATTCAGTACATCGTATAAGTATCTCAAACTATACTTTGATCAAACCAATTCCTGAAAGTTTTGATGTATCATCACTTTTGAGATATAACCTGATATAAAAAATAGTTTCATCACATTATCATATTGTAGTCCAACAATTGAAATTCATTCTTCATCAAGTTTTTGAATGATGTACCTGTCATAATCATATCACCCAATCACATGCCAGGAATGGTATGTTCAATAGTGAGATCTCGTTAATCTTTAGCTCGCACATGTTTCAATTTTGGTTGTTGTCGTGCATGAGGGGGTTGAAGCTCGGTGAAAAAACTCATTTCAAGACATTAAACACAGATTCATCCTCTTAATGATCAATCATAGATATCGATACTAGAATTTTGAGGAATGAAGCAAGAAAATTGGATTTCAAGTACTCTTTGGTGAGTTCTAATGAGTTATTACCTAGGTAACTAGGTGGTAACTACTTACCGATTCAATAAAAGATGTATTAGTATTATATTATCAAACAAGTAATTTTTTTGTGTTCTGGTCGAAGTCAATATTTTCTTCATTATACTGTGTGGAACAGTCAATCTGCTGTTTTTTTTCAGATTCACGAAATATACAGGGTCCTGCAACAGTGGCGCGGTGTTCCATATCTCTATATAGGAAGCAGATAGGAATCTAATTTTCTATAATATTACCTTATTGCTCGAGCTCGACAAAATAAAAATATTGGCGGTCACACAGGGTGTTCGATTTTTTCTGGGCGGATCCTGATTTTCTCTGAAATAAACGTACGTGAATATTTGTATTCTGTGTAACAAAATACGTACTGATTCAAACAAAAATTCAATAGGTAATCAATTCTTCAAATTCTTGCCTGATTACTAATCATTTTATATTGATTTTTCCAATATGAATAATTTCCTGAAGTTTCATGTGAAAAATTAATTTTCAAGTGGTTTCTGTGTATCACAAAATAGCTTTTCCATCCATCTCCATTAATCAGCCTCAGCCTCAGAGAAAACTCTAATGTTGTCAAAAATAGAAATAATGGCTAAAATCCGGAATTGTCAATTTAAAAATGTTCAGCGTTATTATCATATGTAATTTTTTTTTGTAAAATTGAAATAGTTTACCAATTCAGACCCTTTACTTCAAATATATTTCTTTTTCGAAAGCTTTCTGAAACAAGTCTTATTTCTTATAACGTGATATTTTGATTACTTTTTTTGTTTTGAGAAACATATACCCAGTTTTGAGTCCTTGAGAAAAGAATTCATTTAAAATATTTCAGAATATTTTGACTCACTTATTGTTTTATCACACTGGTTCGATTTCTCAAAAGTAATGTTTCTATGCAGTTTGTATTTCTTCATCAATGTGTAGTTGGAAATTCACCTAATTAATTCCATTACAGAAGTTGAGGGTATAGTTATCAAACACATACTTTGACGAAAGTTTTCTCCTCTCCTCCTAATGAGGTGGTTTCTTCAAAAAATTCTATTTTGATTTCATTGATCTGAAAATTAAAAAAACTGTCATACATAGAATAGTTAGTCAAGTGATTTCAGGCTTTAAATAATTCATTACTGATATAAATTTAAACAAATGACCTCATCAGAAAACAAGAACATGGGATATTATTCATATCATGAGAGAGTTATAGAGAGGACCGATTATGGAGGCAAATACTTGACATCTGAGACTGAACAACTCCATTTTAAACGATAACAAAAAACTTCAGTTGGAAAACAGTCATATAACTTCCGAAAGGAATCATTTTTTGTCTCGAATAATGATGCTGACATTTGTTGAATAAACATTTCTCAACGTTGTTTCAAAAGTGTTATTATCACCCCAAAAATTTTAAACCTATTTTCTGTGAATGACGTTGAATTCAAAAACTAACTTCATAATCTATATGAAGATTCGAACAGTAAATATAAATTTGGAAATGATGGATCGATTTGAAGTATTTTCGATTATTTTCCATTCCTTGATGACATTTTGAATACATCTGAAAATAATTCACAATATGAGTTACAACTATCATAGAAACAATTTCAACGTCATCCGTTTTTTCTTCAGGTTTTAATATCCTGTGCCCTCGCCATCTGTGAAGCTGGCTACGCATCACCTTACTACTACTCACAACATAACTCAGTTATTCTACCCAACGGAGCTCCTTTAGACACTCCCGAGGTCCAACTAGCTAAAGCAGCCCATTTCGCTGCTCACGCTAAAGCAAGGTATGGCGCTCCAGTGGTTCCGTTATTACACTATGGTCAACCCCTTGCCCATAACGCCCTTCCTTTGGACACTCCCGAAGTAGCAGCAGCTAAAGCTCAACATTTCCATGACTACGCTGTAGCCGCTCAACGCAACGGAGTCTCCGTTGGACACCTTCAACTCGCCCCAGGTCTTCCAGTCGATACTCCTGAAGTCCAGCATGCGAAAGCTGCTCACTTCGCTGCCCATGCTGAAGCTGCAGCTCGTGCCCATGGATCTCACTACAGGAGGCGTCGCGGAGTCTACCCTCTCCATTATCCAGTCATTGACCACAATGGCGTACCAGTAGAGACCCCAGAAGTGCAAGCAGCAAAAGCTCATCACTTTGCTGAATATGCTAAAGTTGCCAGTCGTCCAGGTCAGAATATTCCTGAAGCTGTGAACTACTATGGTCATCCTCAGACAATTCAGTATGGCGCGCCAGAATATTACCGCGGCCCAGGTGGTCCACCAGCCCAAATCGGACCAGACGGACAGCCCATTGAAACCCATGAAGTTCAAGCTGCTAAGGCCGCGCATTTTGCAGCTCATGCAGCTGTCAGAGGAAATAACTATGGTCATTTCGGGCACTATTAAAACCAATTCTCTGTGAAAGCTACAAATTGGAGTTTGTAGTTACTGATGAGAAACTATATGTGTCTCAACAGGAACCACATAGCCTCTTTAAAGTTTTATAAAATAGGCGTGATACCTTTAGTTTACTGTAAATATTGTTTGAAAATAAACGGCAAAACATATGATGTTAATGAAACTGTGAATTCAGTATTTTTTCATGTCCTGAATTTTCACTGAAGAAGTGAAAATGAAAATAATTTTGGTAGCGATGCTAAAATTGCACCAATAATTGTTCAGTCCCACTACTCAATCCTGTTATTTTCAAGTTTGGTTATATATTCATTACGAGAATCAAGATGGTCACACGATTCTCTTTTTTTTTAATTCAGTAAACAAGAGTTTTCATTTGGCCAGTATTCCGAGAACGAAAGTCATTGAAACTGACAGCAAAAGTGAAATTTGCAAAAAATATCGTCTTCAAATGAATCGTTTTTCAATGGTTTATCACGTGTTGGAATCGAACGTTATCAACTGCGAGAAAAATAAACACAGAAGTAACCAGGAGGAGTGAAGATGAAGTGTGCTCCCTCAAAAATATTTCTGGATGAATTGGTGGTTTTCGTAGTGGATCCTTTCACGACTGATGTGATAGATCCACTCATATATATAGAAACCTTCCAGCACAATTGTCATGAATAAACGGATATAATATTAATGATACCTGAAATAATACATTTTTTCAGCGATAAAATTTTCTATATGAGAGGGTTGTCTCATATGTATTGGGTTGTTTCAAAAGATTCATCAATTTAAATGAGATGTGATTTGTGGCTTCATATTCTGATGAATATCAATCCACTATGTCGGGTGCATACTGATTGATAAAAGAATTCGTACCCACATTGTACATTGTTGTTTGTTTTCCAAATTTCAATTTTTTGTCGCTTTTCAACTGATTTTTTTCAAAGAATTCAAATTAAATCAAAGTGCTTCGAATGAGACCGAAATATTAACCAGCCATTTGGCGTAGATGGTTTGTGACATTTCATTCCGGAGATTTCAGCTTCGGAGATGACCCTTGAAGTGGTCGAGTAACAGTAATTCAGGAAGAGGATTTGAGAACACTGTTGTAGACTGACCCATCACAAACGGTGTGTGAGACGGTGGAAGAACTGGGCGTCAGCTTTCATGCAGTTTTTGATGGTTTAAAACGTATTCGAAAGGCCAAAAAGCCTCAAAGTGGGTGCCCACAATTTGAACGATCGACAGAAATTGTCACGTTTCGAAGTATATTCTTCATTGCTTTGACGCAACCAATGGATAAAATCGTCGGGTGTGATGAAGAGTAGATCCTCTACAACAACAGGAGACGTACAGAACAGTAGTTGAACACCGATGAGCCACCCAGGCTCTTCTCAAAGGCAAAATCCTAGCGAAAAAAGACCATGATTACTGAATGGCGGTCAGCGGATGATCTGATTTACTATAACTTCCTACATCCGGGAGAAATCATCACGTCAGAGTCTCAATGTAAGGAAATCGACGAAATGTACCAAAAATTGTATTATTGGCACTTGTCAACAGAAAAGATCCGTAGGCACGTTTCACAAATCACGAAAAGTTCTGTCTCACCAATCATACTTCCCAGACCTCCCGCTAATTGACTACCATCTTTTCAAACACTTCAATAACTTTCTTACTGTTAGAACCTTTGCCAATCAACATCATGCAAAAATGGCCTTCATCGACTTTATCAAATCCCAAGCACACAATGTTCATTCCGACGTAATGAATTTACTTTTGTTACGTTGGAAAATGAGTAATGATTCAAAAGGCGCTTATTTCCATTACATAAAATAAGTATTCAGTGATATATTACAGTTTAAAGTTGACTGATAAAAACGGACAAAACTCCTGAATCGACCTAATATATCCATCAATATCAATTATTTATAAACAAATATTTAAAATGGCCAACATAATTTCATATAATACGTAAGAATATGAGCTATGCATATTCAAATGCATCAGTTGAGAGTCGATGATAAATCTCTCCCGTTAATTAACCTGAAGTATTTGGAACTATTTTGTTACATATCCATCATCACGAGATGATATTTGATATTGAATAACAGATTTTCATATGCCTAAATAGTTGATAATATATATTAACGAACGGTTTATTTATATCAACTTCATGGTAGACTTATCTGCAAGAATATATAGAAATAAGGATTTCAACAAACGTATAGTTGAAATAGTTTCAACGTTTTTGAAAACAGCAGAAGTTAGTTAATAACGGGGATGTCATTTCTTCTATATACTTTTTCATTACATCCAAAAATATGAGGTAATCAGTTATAAAAAACATCTACCGTGACGGACATACATAATGAATTAATGAGAAAAGTGAAACAATATTGTTAGCGGTCATATGCATGTCTATTCTGTGAGTTTTAACGTTACTTATAATTGGATCAAAAACATTTCAATTGAACTTCTGACTCGGACTTGACTAGGCATCTGAAACAAGCAAATTGAAAGATATTAGTTTTTTCATTTTTTTGTTGTGGCAATCACCATATTGGTTTCTATCAGACGATGCTCTCGATATTGATTACCAAATATAATGTGTAGTGGTTGAAAATTGCCTTTTTGCTGGAATTCTTGTTGAATGATTTCAAGTTAACGAAGTGAGTGATCTAATTGATTAGGAATTGGATAATTTTAGAAATCGATAACAAGTGTTACTAAATATCCTACCAAGCATGACTGCGTGCTTGAAGAATGTTTAACACATACACCCCAAATATAAATATATCCACAATGTTCACGCACGAGTAACTGCATTCTTTCGGTGGTTGGATACTTTTATTCAATTTCAATGCATTTGATCATTATATAATATTAGAAATTGTGCTAATTCAGCACCCAAAGAAAGTATTGATTCAAAATGTCAATAAAGAAGAGAACAATATAATGTTTTTCCATTTACTAGTCATCTTAGAGAAAGATTTATAGAAAAAAAAACAATATATGTACAGTGTGTCTCAGAATGTGCCATCGTGGATAATTTACTAGACTCACTACTCAGTGATACACAAAGCATTTCAAATATGAATAAAACATCTTGTACATTACAAAACATTGTGAATTGGCAAAATTTTGGTTTATATACGATAAACAGGGCGTTTCCAACGAAAATTTGACCCCCACTGTGCGTCAGAAACGGACGTGTAATCGAAAATTTCAAAGAACACGTCAACTTCTATTTCTAGGGAGACTGATTGTGATATGGAAGTGATACCCGAAATTTCACCCCCCTGCGATCAGCAACTATCCCCAGATTTTTTTCAGAGGCATCGTGTGTCGACTGATACATCATTCAAAAGGTCTTTTGACCCTCTATTTCCTCTGTAAAATTTTTTCGAACTTGGTTTATTCGTTATTAAAAAATTGATTGTTGGACGTTTTATTTAAGAAAAAACAGAAAACTCTCTGTCGCTCATTTTAATGGGAAAATCAACAAAGGTAATATCAATGGTAACATAATCAACGGATAAAGTGTTCAAAATGACCTCCATCTAGTTCCATACAATAATACAGTCTACTTTCGAAAGCGTTCCTTACATTATTGCAGATGTCTAGAGTCAGAAATCGGCATTCCCGAACAGTTCTCTGTCACAGAATTAATATAATTAGTAGAAAACGTTTTGAAATAGGCGACACTATTGGTTTTTTCGGCACTGGTAGTTTTTGTTGAATCGAGTTGTCGCAGAATAAAAAGTTGATAGTTGGCCAGTCACTTCTTCACGAATTATTATTCAGTAATCCTTTTGTTCACTGTGTTCCAACATGGTTTATTTTACTGAAGAAAGAATAGAAATTGTTGCAACCTATTATCGAAATGATGAATGCTAAACTGCTGCAAGAATTTATGATACGAATCATCCAGACTACAGCGTCAGCCATCAATACGTTGAACAGTTATGTTCACAGCAGAAAACATGAAGTATCCCGTCCTGTCAGAAATGACGAAATTAAAGTTGCAGTTTTAGGACATGTACAAATGGATAATCCACAATCTATCAGACAAGTAGCTAGAGCATCTGGTGTATCAGCCACTAGTGTGTTTCGGATTTTGAAAGTCTGCGAATTATATCCTTTCAGAATAACACTAGTTCAGGAATTTAACGAAGATGATCCTGATCGTCGACTTCAGTTTTGTGAGGTGTTCAACGGTGTTCAATTACCCAAACCTGTTATATAATACATGTTTTTCAGATGAAAAATCTTTCATGTTGAGTGGTGAAGTGAATAGACAAAATTTTCGTTACTGGGGCGATGTGAATTCTCATTCGCAATGTAAATTGAAACTCAGTCTATTGTCGAAGATGACTCCCAGTAAATTGTATACAAATTCAATCAAATACTGATTTTTTATAAATGGGACAGTCGAAGAACAATCTGTTACAATAAAGGAACAATGGACAGTTGAGGAACAATCTATTGCAGTTGCAATATTGAGCGAATCGATAAAGGTCAGATTGGACGTTTAAGAAGTCTCCCTTTCACTTCATTCTTGAAAATATCTTTAGGTCGTCAGTGTACAACAAAATTTTGGAAAATATACAGCATTTCTCACGTCGTTTATAAAGAATGAAAATAATAAAGCACCCAGATGGAAGCCTTGTGGTACTCCCGACGTTACAGCAATAGGTGTTTATTTGAAACTATTTATTGTCACAATCTGTGATCTATTGAAAACAGAGTAGTTACATAGCATTTGTTGAATTTGAAGGGTACTTTCACGTTCAACATTTTGAAAATACCATCTGATCTGTTAGCGTAACTTGATTCATACGGAACTTTGAGTCCATATTTCCTTCAAGTCGTAGATTTACGAAGATACTCTCGAAATTCACGTTTTCTGATTAACTTATCTACAATATTTGCAGAATACCCGTTGTTTTCAGGAAGGTGAAACTTCAAAACGATTGAGAGTGCGTGAAAGTGAACATCTAAATGCCATCAGAAAAAAAAATCTACTTCTCCATCTCTATACAAAAAAAGTGGAAATCTTCCAGAGAAAGAAAGAAAGCCAATCAATTTCAAAATAAACTCCACACAATGGTCTGAAGATCATGCAAAGAAGTGACTTTCAGACACAAACTGAAAGAAAAAAACTGAATTCATATAAACA